ACTGAATATTAATGAAGAAAATGCAATAATTTGGTTACGTAATCGATTACCAATTATGAATTTTGATCAATTTTATAAAGATAAATTATTAGATCTTATTGAGAATACAAATCAACTTTATAACATCTTTCCGGAAACGTGTCAGACAGAGCTATTGATTAAATCGGTTATTATCCATACTATTGCACTCCATTCTTGTATTCCCGCAGCAAATTCTCCGTTGGCCACATATTTACAAACTTTGAGAGCTTGTAAAAATACATACATATTGGCATCTCGCGTAGACACTGATGACTTTCTTGAACTTACAGATGCACTTGGAAATTTTACACGGTATGCATTTCAATATAAAATTATATTCTATTTCTATATATTCTATTAAGTTAAAATTTTTTTTTCATCCTTCAGTTATGAATGTCAGTGCGGCTATAAATATATCGTTGGTGAATGCGGCGGCACGATGCAAGAAAGTAAATGCCCACGATGTGGAAATCGTATTGGTGGATTAAATCATACAGTCAATCCAGGTAACAAACGTCTTGATGATCAGGCAATTAATGGAAGCATTGAGAAAGCAACCCGATTAGGCTATGTTTATGAATCTGTCAAAAGCAGAAGCTACATCAATTATCGCCTTCGTGATTTAACACCAGTTTTTTATCGCATATTGCATTTTATTGTTCATATACTTATTGCCGCTGCTTCGGATGCAGATCGCAATGAATTTTTTAACAATTCACAACAGAGTAATGAGAACGAAATAATTCAAGACCCTTTAGTTTATTGTCAAAATCATATTGTGAATGATTGGCAAATATTGACACGCTTGTTTGATTGCGATGATGAAACATTGTCATTGGTATTGCATTCAATTTTATATTCTATATCCGAAAATCCAAATGAAGCAATAATAAGATTAGACACAGTTGAAAAGCGACGAGCCTGGGAAAATGAATTTGCTCAACGTTACATAAAATCAAAAGTTGTAAATGCTCGCCATACCGCAACAGATTTTCAAAAAAAGATTAAGGATAATGAACGCACACTCGAAAGTGAGATTAATGAAACCTTGGACGTTGACGAAACATATCAAATTAATTTTCGCCCACGAATTTGGCGACGGATTGGCAAAGCAAGTTTCGAAAATTTACAAGCATATTGTGTAGGGTATCCAAACTTTGCCACTGAATTTCCATTTCTATCATTGTTCTTTGAATATCAAGAACAATTGGCATTGATAAAAAATCTAATACCAATTATAAAATTCTCAAAGATTCTTTCTTCAATGCTATGCTATAAATTGAAAAGGAATGATGCACGCAGTCTTACGTTTGAACAATTTCTTAATAACAATGAATCACCGGAAAATCTTTATGAAGTTTTTAAAAATTTTACCGAAGCATGGAACTCCATAAGGGAACATGTCGTGCAATTTGAATATCATGAGTTTACAACTCAGATGCCAGAAATGAAAAGCAGCCTTCCTGTGGTTTATGCATTGTTTGAAAAAAGAGATGAGTCATTATATATATGTGGAGCAATCGAACTTTTAGCAAATTTACAAAATGAATTCTTGCAACAGGTTTTAGCAATTAAACCTGGTTGTCCTTCGTTGAGATTTTTAGAAGGACGGTTTATAAATAATGCACAACGTCATGTGTCCCAGCATCATTACTATATAGAATCATTAGCACTATCTGAGGCACGTTCTAAAAATATTATAAATTATGAATGGAATCCTATATTACTTTCCTATAGTCAATGTAATCTTGAGCTTGGTCGTGGACAAGAAATTCAATATGAACTACATAAAATTGAAGCAGAATTAGCATATTCATTACTTTTTAATAAAGCTCATCTTAACAAAAATGAATCACTTTGGTTAGATGTGTTTTCATATCACCAAGAACTATTTTCAACATCTCGAACAATTTTGAGTGAAATCAGAGACTTAATTCCTCAAGAGCAAATTCCTCCCGAAAAACTTGGGTTTTCCGCCACGGCCACTTATAATACTTCATCCAGATTTACTTTTAGCGATCTAAATGCCATCGATACGGTTTCTACTTTTGATAATCCCACTGAACTATTGTCAAAACTTGAAATTTTACTTTGTTTTTTGAAACGAATTTCAGGAGATCGCGAAATGAAAATCTGTGATTATATAAATAAATGGGAGAGATTATCAGCACTAAACGAAACTCCTCAATTTCAAAAAATAATTAATGGATTAAGATTAAAACATGCAGTAGCATTATATGAATTAGTTGAAGAAAAAATTGCGGATGTGGAAATTGAATATCTATCAGATAAATATAAAGAAAGACTGCAACAAAATTTAAAAAATGAAATTAACTCAGGTGTTGATTTCGAGCAATCGCATGGCACAGGTGGTAGTGGTATAAGTAAACTTAAAATTCCACATAAAGCTTTTGCAGTAGTATTGAAGAGGTTCATGTTTCGATATTTAACATCAGAAATGTATAATTCTGATGAGGTACTTGCAAATTATTTAGCTGGGAATGCCTTTATTGATTGTTGGCCAACTTGGGTACCTGATGATGTTATTCGTGATAAATTTCCAAAGTCGTTATTAGCTGCGAATATTTATGATGCATATCAATATACAATTCAGGTAAGAAAGAAATATTCTTTTACAATAACTATTTTGAATAATTTATAAAAACTCCATGTACTTTTCTTTAGAATGTGAAGAAGGCAATATCACATAAAATTGATAATAGCCGACAAAAAGAGGCTTTGTCGAGGATGAATTCTAGTTCAAGTGCACGTGGTGGAAGTCATGGAAATCGTGGAGGTCGCGGAGGAGGCCGTAGAGGTCGTGGTCGTGGTGGAAATAATTTAGACAAAATGTAAATTATTTGTCTTACTAGGTAAATTATAAATTTTATGCTTGAATATTCAGGGATACGTTAAAGTGTTCAAATAATATTGGTAGAATTTATTTATTATATTATTATCTACCTGTTTTATTAAATGTATTGGCATGAAAATATCCTGGCTAATTTTAATATCTAAGTTCACTTTCAAATTTTACTGACTTAAATGTAATCTTGACAAAAAAAAATAATAGGGATATTTAAAAAAATTTAATCATCTGCAATAATAAAAAAATGAGGTTGAATTATGTTGTTAGTATATATATGTATGCATGTATGCCACTTTTTTTAATATCAGAATACTAGAGATAGTGTATGAACAACATTGTCATAATGAATGAAAAATGAACTGACAATCGTAAAACTTCATCTGATATTTAGAAAAACACGCATTATCATCCAACACAACGTATAAACATATATGGTTAATACCTCTATATATTGGTGTCATGTATCTTATAAGGGATAGCTGCGCAGCGCGTGACGCAGCGCAGAACCAGTACGATCGTGAACAAGTTTCTAAAAGAAACACATTTTACTTTCATTATCATTGCGTCCAAATGCTATATATTACATATAAATTCTATGATTCGTCATGTATTTCGTCCATTCGGCATGTATTTTGTCGTCACGAGTTTCGTCATTCGTCAATTAAGGTTACCTGATGAAACTATTTCATCATTCGTCAGGGTTTATCAATAGGGTCCGGAACGGGCCAGCCGGCCCGTTCCGGACCCTACACCACACATGGCCATGAAGCTCAACCACCAAAAAAAATTCTTACAGTCTATCGGTTCTGAATATCAAATGAAAGGTCCCTTGTACTGCTATTGTCACGGAGCCTAGTGGGTTCTTGTGTTGCTTACCTAGAGACGTATGAATGCAAGTTTTTTTAGCTTTACATCACATAAAGAATAATGTTGCACAGTATAATTCTGTATTATACCGTGGACCTCTCAAAACCTATATTCAGTGAACAGACTTTGCATTATTACTAGAGGTTATCGGTTTCGAAAACATAAACTATCGGATTTATATAGTGAAAACAGACCTGGTAGATTTATTTTTTGCTGGATTTCACAGGCTATTGATGTTGATAGGAACAAGTGTCTATAAAGTGATTATTGATGAAATGACATAGAGCAAAATTACATAATAACTTCTATGTGCATTTTTAA